GCAAGACCAAACATACGTGGACTTGACTTCAAATCTGAGGGAAATGAATCCTTACCGCTTTGCCCTCCTTTTCACCTTTCCTCTTAGTGAGCGTGAGTTGCAATACGACCCCTTCATTCACAATATACATTCAAGGGTTATCATGAGCCCAGCGTCATACCGGATATCATCAGGGACACCAGAAAAATGAAAAACACACTCCCTGATCTTGGGGGAAAAGATTCCTCTGTACCTATATTGTTGGATACCAACTCAGCACTTGTTTTCGTTATTTCATAAAAACCTAGAATTAATTTATTCATGTTTGCTAAAGTATGAATGTCCATGTCCCCCCGCCCCCCAAATTCATCAGTTGAAACTTAGCCTCTGAGGAGATACTACGAGGAGGCAGGCCTTTGGGAAGTGATCAGGTCCTGAGGGTGGAGCCCTCATAAACGAAATCTATGCCCTTACAGACATGGCCCTAGAGAGCTCCCTCACCTCTTCCCCATGGTGAGGACAGAGCAGAGTCTACAAATGGGCTCTCACCAGACGCTGAATCTGCTGGAGGCTTGGCTTTTGCGCTTTCCAGCCTCTAGAACTGTAAGAAGTCCATTTTTGTTGCTTATAAGCTGCCCCATCTGTATTTTGTTCCCACAGCCCCAGCAGACTAAGACAATGTTCCATGGAAGCCCACCCTACTGGAAGGAGAGTAGGATTGTACAGTTTGGTGGGAAGTGGCAGTAAGGTCCCGGGGGATGTGGAGAGAAGAAGCACGAGGACTTCTGCCAAGAGTCCAAACAACTTGGCTAAAGGTTTGAACTACACATTAGCTGCAAGAGGACAGAGCCCAGGTCACCCTGGGGACCTTTGAGACACAATCAAGAAGATTCACTTCGGGGCGCCTGGGTGGCTCAGTGGGTTAAGCCGCTGCCTTCGGCTCAGGTCATGATCCCAGGTCCTGGGTTCAAGCCCCACATCGGGCTTTCTGCTCAACAGGGAGCCTGCTTCCTCCTCTCTCTCTGCCTGCCTCTCTGCCTACTTGTGATTTCTCTCTGTCAAATAAATAAATAAAATCTTTAAAAAAAAAAAAAAAAGAAGATTCACTTCAAGAATACAGCAAGGTAAGCACTGCACGGGGAGAAAAATCAGACACAAAAACCAGAGCTTTCTGAAAACAGGACCCCCAAATCCTGTTAAGTGAGAGCGGTTGGGAGTCTGAGCTGTCAGAAAGAGCAGTTCTCCCTGCTCACTCTTCATCACCGAGGCAAGCCCCAATCAGGGCTTCTTCTGAAGGGACCCAGGATAAGGTGAATGGATGCCTGGTCAGACCAGTGTGAAAAGGAAACTGAGGGGGACGGAACCAAGGGGCTTGGCTGCCTTTCACTAGTAGATTCTGGAGCGGTGGGGAAAGGAAGGCTCTCCTGCGTACGTACAAGTGCACGTGCACAGTCCTGTGGCTTTCTGCCCTCTCCCTCCTCCTGCTTAGCAGAGATTCTTCCCCCCTCTCCCCCTTTTTTTTGTTCCACGGATTCCTTTAGCTCTCCAGAAAAGCCCTCTGGACACTTCTTCAGAATGTTTGCAAATCAACGACATCAGACACAGAGGAACATCTAATAAGATCGGCTTGTGAAATGGCTCTATGTGCGCCCTTCATCCATTTGCTGGCTAACAGGATCTGGCAGGAGATTTAATAAGTGCCATGATTTAGAACCAGCGATGAACAGAAATGATCCCGAAGCGTATCTACAGCAGCTGTCATTGCCTCAAAATGACCTGTGATTTCCCTGGGGGGCCAAGGCACCAACATTGCTAACACTCTGAGGGGGTGTGGTTGATATTCCTCCTTATAGGAAATGCGAAGTTCCAGCTAAAAGTTAGTGAAAACAAAGGTGTAATTTTTTTCCTATCCAAGACCATGAACCTCTTAAATTCTATCTACAGACTCCATAGGGAGGTCCTTGGACCTCAGGTAAAGAAACCCCAGGGGAGGGGCGTGGTGGCTGGCTGGGTGGCTCAGTGGGTTAAGCCTCTGCCTTTGGCTCAGGTCATGATCTCAGGGGCCTGGGATCGAGCCCCACGTCGGGCTCTCTGCTCAGCGGGGAGCCTGCTTCCCCTTCTCTCTCTGCCTGCTGCTCTGCCTACTTCTGATCTCTCTCTGTCAAATAAATAAGATCTTTAAAAAAAAAAAAAAAAAAAAAGAACCCCCCCAGGGGAACTTTCAAGTTCTTCTCAAAATCACTACAAGCTTCAACTTCAACCAATCATGCAAAGGTGAATATCCAAGGAATTTTTCACAACCAGTAACTCACAGACACATGGGCAGTCCCTCTGCAGCCCACAGACATGTGATTCTCAGTGTAAAGGAGTCTGGAACCGCATTCTGCTGCCCTGTGCCTTCCCTTCCAGGGATACCTTCAGAAAGTCTTCCCCAACTCCTCCCCTTGTTGTCAACATGGGTCACTTCAGTCACCCTGCTGTCACCTGCCACCCCTAAGACCACCTCCTTTACTTCTTTGGAAATGGCTGTTGTGTTCTTTCTCCATTCACTCTATCTGCGTCAGTGGCTGAATCAGTCTGAGAACAATGGTAGCCCAACCGACATTGTGAGATCTCCTCTGAGCTACACCAGTGCCCACTGATCCAGCCCGGGTTGCCCAAATCCTTGTCGCCAAGGGAACCAGATGAGGGAATATGAAGGAAGGGGCCTCCTGTATCAATGAAGGCTTATTGTGGCCCTACCGAGCTAGCACAGCATTACAAAGGCCTGGTGCATTCACTCTCATTGGAAGAAATGACTTCAGCCATAATCCCAGTGGGAGAAATGACCCCAGCCATAATCTCAAGTGGACACGGGGATACCCTTACTGGTCAACAGTTTCTTATTAGCCACCTGCTAGGTTCCAGACACTGAGGAGGTACTGGGAATAAATAACATACAAGTAAGTGGACAGCAATGATCACATCTGGTTATAAGGAGCACTACGAAAGAATTGGAAGAACAATAAGGAAGAAGGTAATAGAGAAGGTACTTTGTTACATGTGGACGGAGACAAAATCCTCTGGAGAAAGAGGCGTAAAGGATGAGAAGGAGCCATCAGTATGAAAAGCCAGAGGAAAATGGCTATGGGGGCTGGGGGTACTTTGAGAAGGATCATAAAGGCAGGAAGGGTGAGATTTCAGATGCCTGGGAGAAGGGGCTTGAGCTTGGCCAAAGAGGTAGACACCCGCCATGTCAAGCACATGGGGGAGTGGAGTGGCTAATGGCATGGATTCCCATAAGTAGACCAGCTTGGCTAGAATCCATCCAGCTCTAAAACTTCTCTAGCTGTGTGCCCTTGGGCAACTCGCTTATCCTCTCTGAGCCTTACTTTCCTCATCTTTTTAAGTAGGGATCATCATATGTGTCCTTCATTGACTTGCTAAGTACATTAAGAATAAAGCACTTAGAACAGTGGCTGACAGAGAGTGCCGGCCATGTCACGGTTTGCTATGACTTGTTCCAAGCTCATTGAGAAGTTGGGGGGTGGGAGTTGAGCCCAAGAGAGACGTGATCTGGATTGTGTTTGATAGATTCTTGGCCCATGTGTGGGCTACTGGTCATCAATAATAGGTAGCTGGAAGAGATCCCAGAGGTCATTTATACCAATTCCTTCCCTAGCACTTCTCTTTGGGAAGGGGAGGGGACATTGCCTGAGCAGACATCTCTGAGAAAGGCTTGGTGGCCTTCCCCTAACACTGGGTGGGAGAGAAGGTTGAGAGGCAGTGGGCCACAGCTTCTGAAGGGCTCATCCACCCCGTCAACTGCCTGCCGGAGAAGAGCCCACTAATCCCACCTCAGATGGTTCTAGAAGGGTCCCGTGTTCCAATGCCTCGCCGGCTCCTATTCCTGCCAGTGTCAATGTCACTCTTCTAGGATTATAAGTGCCTCAAGGACAGCAGCCATTTCCTTCCCCTCTCACAACCCGGTGACTGACAGAAGCCCCAAGCACTGAGTCTCAGAGCTTTTGAATAATTGATTGGAAAAAGGAAGGTGGAATCACAGCATTTTTGTGTCTCTCCCAGATCTATAAGCTCTATAAGGAATCTAGAGGACCTCGGGGAAGTCATTAAGTGGCATCCCTGCCCTGGGGCCAGCCTTCCTCAAACACCCTAGCAAGACTCCTCCTCCCGGTCTCCACAGGACATTTTGCACTCCTCCACCCAGTAATGTGTCCTAAACGGTCTCCTTCCAAACCTCTTCCCTAGACCCCTTCTGCCGCACTGCACAATGGGGACACCACCCACTTCCTGCCCCAAGGGGCTCTGGGTACAAGCCAATGCAGGAGATAAAAGCTCTCTTGTCTCCAGGGACATCTTCAGACAGACCACAGCAAGCCCCTCTGGCTAGCTGGAGCTGAGGGATGATGGGAGGGGGCGGAGGTCCTTCAGGCCCCTCCACATTCACCAGCCTCCCCCAAGACCCCAGGCACTCCCTGACCAGCTGCCCCTCTCCAGCTCCCACGGGAGAAGCAACCAACCACCACCCTTTTCGTTTTTTCCATTCTTCCGTGGTTTTCCCCCTCCTCAGCTAAGGCAGTGCTTTTTCCCTACACCAGACCCCCAACTTCTCTTCCCTCTCCCGTCCCCATTTTTCTTCCCGCAATTCTGCAAGCTTCTAACCCCCCCCCCCCCCCCCCCCCCTTTCCTCCCAGCCGCTCAACTCTCCTCCCAGCCCCTATTTGTCCTCTCCAATCCCCTTTCCCAATTGGTCCCACCCCCTCCCCTTTAGCGCTCGCTGACCCCATTCCTCTCGCGCCCCCACCAAGCCTCCCTCCCCTAACTATTCTCCCTGACCCTTCCCCCACCCCCAGGCCTTCCGTACCCCTCCGCGGGTCCTCGAGCACGTCCTCCGCCCTCCTCCCCGACACGCTTGGTGGCGCAAAGAACGGTGACCGCTCCCCCCGTCCAGTCTCCCCGCAGCTGCAGCCGCCGCTGAGACCCCACCGCGCTCGGGGGACCGAGGCGCCGCCCCCGCTCACCTGTTGGGCGGACCGGAGCACGCCGGGTCTCGCCTTCTCGGGATCTGGGTCCCGGTCGCGCTGCAGCACCCCCTTCTTGGGATGCATGTGCCGGCACAGGCAGGTGACCCCGCACAGCGCGAGGATGCTGGTGGCCGTGCCCAGCGTGGCGCCCAGCGCGATCACGGGCACCGACAGCACCATGGTGCCCGTTCCCCGCGCGGGGCTCGGTTCTGCCGCCGCGCACCGCCCTCCCAGCCGGGCCCGCCGCCGAGCAGCTCCTGGGATCCGGGCGCGCCGGCTGCTCTCCCGCCGCCGGGGGGCGGGGAGGGAGGGCGGCTGCGAGGACGTCAGAGGAGGCCGGCCCGGAGCAGCCTGGTGCTCCGGCACTCGGCTCAGCGTCAACCCGCACCCCCTCCCGCAGACACGTGACCAGACCCTTCCACCCCAACAGCCGCCGAGCATTCACATGCCTGAAACCTTAGGGGTGTCTGCAGCCATTCTTCACGCTTTCTGTACGAGGACGCTTGGCCCCAAGAAGGGCAGGAGCTCGCAGAGGTCACACTGTGTGAGCAGACAAACCAGGGCTCCGACCCAGGCCTGCGGCTCCGTCTGGGTAGGGGTCACTTTACCAGACTACTAACCCTTCCTTTCTCACCTTCTCTGCCCCGGAGAAGTAGACACTTGGGTCCTCCAGATTTTCAAACACACAAGGGCTGGAGAGTTCCCTAGTCCAGAACTTGCCCAGCTTTTGCTCTGCAATGGGGGAGGGGAAGCAGGCGACAAGGAGAAGGGAATTGCTGTCTGGGGTTGAGACTGTGCCTGTGTCCTGGTGAAGATCACAGCGCCCATTCTGTTTCTATCTGGATCTCCTTTAGCATGCTTTCTGACCCCATTTGGCCTGTGGGTCTCCATTCACAGATGAGGAAGCGGAGGCTAGTAGGGGATGTGAGGCAGCTGGGAAAATCCAGGCATCCTCAACCCAAACCCAGGTTGGCAGAGTCCAAGTCCATGTGTCACACTCAGAGAAAGAACTTGCCTTAGAAGAACAAAGAGGATCACATGCAGCAGCCTGGAGTCCAAACTTGATTCAGAGAAAGGGGAAATAAAACAAGGATGCTTAGAGTAAGGCGAGATTAGAATGCCAGGCATGAGGACCCTGCCTTAGATCAGAAAACAGTGGTTTTCAGTGTGTTGTGTTATGTGGAGTGTTTCATTTAATTCAGCAAGCATTTGCGGTGTCTGCTTGAGGTGTGCAGGGCACATGTGAGAAGGAGGGCAGAGAATTTCATCCACAACAGGGCTTTGGAATTCCCATGAAACCAATGGCTCCTGAGTCTAGCATGGCTCCCGCCAGACCTTCTGTGCTGAGCTGCATAAGTGACCCCTCCTGGTACCTTATCTACCCTGCGTGACAAACCACACGTGACTTGGTGGCTTAGAACCATGCTTTTGTGGGTTGACTGGGCTCCGCTGGGTGTTTTTCCTGCTGCAAATGGTGTCTCTCCAGCGCCTGCACTCTGCTGGGCTGGGGGACGTACAAGATGGCAAACCACATGTCGGGCAGCTGGTACTGGCTGCCTCTGGGAGCCACAGCTGGCTTTCAGCGATGCACTGGGGTTCCCCTCTACGTGGCTGGAGCTGCACAGCAGCCAGGTTCCACAAGGGAGGAAGCAGGAGCTGCCGGTTCTCTTAAGACCTGGCTTCAGAAGTTCTAGAACATCATTCTTCTGGTCAAGTAGTTGTCTCCCTCTAATCCTTTCCCTACAAGGCATTAAAAAGGATGTTTCTGAAATGCAAAGCTGATCCTGTCATTCATATGCATAAAGGCCTTCAAAGTGTCACCAATAGTAAATGCAGGAGCCTCAGTTAAATCCAAAGCCCTTTGTGATGCGGCCCCTGCCTTGCCCTTCAGACTCCCCTCCACACACTTTTTAATCTGCCCTGAGCCTCGAAGAACTTGGGATTCATTCTTCAAGCTGCTAGCTTTAGAGCCTTCATACTGTCACCCATGGGTGCATACAGGAGGTACTCAGGAATTGTGGAAAGGGTGAATGACTCACATGATCATCTGAGGCAAGAATTCCAGTGGTTTGGAAGGAATCCCATTTGCTAAATGAGCTCCATTTGATTAAACCGACTCTTCGACAAATATTTATTTTGTGCCTGCTGTATGCCAGGCACATTTTCCTACTGAGCTCCATTTGCTGCCAACTGTGGGACTGAACGCAGTGCCTCGGTCCCTGGTGGTAGACTTAGCACTCTTTCTCATAGGAGCTTCCCTTGGAGGTTTTCTTGGCTCCCGGGCCTGGCAAATGCAAAATGTTCTGGGGAAATGAGCGGTTTAATTAATGCTGTCAGCCCGGATCTCCCATGCCTTAGCTAATCCCCTGGGAGATCCTTCATACCACCTAGCAGGATGGGGGGTGGGGGGGAGGGAAGGATGAGCACTTAATTCTAGACATTGTCTGATGGAGATCATACACCTGTCATGTGGTTCATTGTTACCATGGTTACTGGGATGACAGCAACTGCAGTGACCTTCATTTTTACCAGGAAGAGGGACCCCAGCCCAAGACAAACCGCTTGTCTTTTGCCTTTTTCACACAGAATGAACCGATGGCAGGGCTAGGATAGACCTCAGGAGATTTGAAACCCAGTTACCAGAACTCTGTGTCTCCTATGCTCCCTCTCATCAAACATGCAACTCTGGCTTCTTGGTTACTGATATCCAGGCAGTAGCCTTTCATGACAACTTTCTAAGGAAAGGCGTGAGTGGATTCCTTTGAAAAAATGGGACCATCTCTATTGAGAAAGAGGGATGACTGAGTCAGCTGAGTGGAGCAGTTGGGACAGTCTAAGGAGGAGGCCTGCAAATGGTTAGAATTCCTGGGGTCCCCAGACTGCCAAGAACAGAACAAAACACTTGGAGGAGCTTCTGGAAGGCTGAGAGGTAGATCTCAGAAGATTTCCTAGCCTCTGGATAAAATGTCACCATCGTTATTTGGACCAATATTTTACTCGTTGGATGATTAAATATTCTGAGCATCCACTCAGAATTTCTAAGGTATTAAAATGCTTTTATCTGGGGGAAAGGATTTCAAATATAGGAGGTTCTCTTATCTACAAACATTTGTCATACCCGCATATAGTACTAGGCAGGAGGGAGGAAAATAAAAAAGCAGAACCAGCAAATTTTTAACACTGGAAGGATATCAGACAACATCTTGTGTGATCCTTTCATTTAACCACTAGGAAAACTGAGGCCCAGAGAGCTTGTGGCTTGCCAAAGGGCAGAAGGAGTTAATGACAACGCTGAGGTCTTTTAGGTCGGGGTAGAGGCAGTCCTGCAATAGTTAGAAGTAACCCCCAAACCTCAGGGATTTACACAATAAAAGTACAGCTTGCTCCTATCATAGTTCAAGGAAGTTCAGGTGTCTCCAATCAGTGATTCAGGCTGGGCTCCCGCTTCCTACTGCCATGCAGATGGAGAAAAGAGAGCCCTGAAGACCACTTGTGCCATTTCGGAGGCCATGGCTGGAAACAGTATATATGGTTCTCACCCTACTGCCCTGGATTTGGTGACATGACAAAGCCAACAACAGAAGATTCTGGATGGGAAGGAAACTGGAGTAATAGTAGTCCCTCCCCCAGATCCCAAAGCTTTAGATTCCTGTCTAGTGCCTGTTTCTGTAACTTTTTCATTAACCCAACAAATGTTTTGAGTTTCTACCATGTACCAGGTCCTATGCTGGCCGATGGGGCAATGATAGTGAAGGAAATCATTCATCACACAAACACATGTGAAATTACAGCTGTGATATGAGCTCAGAGGGACAGGTTCGAGGTTGACATTTGACGGGTTCTGAGACACCAAGAAAGCCTTCCCAGAGGAAGTATCAATGGGACTGAGGTCTAAAAGAGTCAAGTTAACTCAACAAAGAAGGAGGAGTGTTCCAGGGAGAGAAGCAGGCTATGCAAGGACCCCTTGGTGGAATCGCACAGTGGCGTGGGGCCGCAGTGCGCTGGTCAACCAGCTCTCTGGGGGGAAATGTTTATCTTCAGCATTTGTTGGTTTCTCTGGTATAAATAATCCCACTACAGTGAATTTCCAGCTACCACCACATTCCTGAATATTTCCCAGTTGGCTCTGGGAGTGCTAGGAGCCAGCTCCAGTGCAGAGCTGGGAGAAAGTCTGAGAGATGAGCCTGAAGGCAGAGGCAGGGGCCAGACATCAGGGCTGGTAGACCATACTGGAAGGCCACTGAGTGTTTTTAGGTAGAGGAGCATGATATGATCAGATCCGTGTTTTGAAAAGATCCCTCTAGCTGCAGTATTGAAAACAGATGGAAGAGGGACCAAGTGGATACATGTGGGCCAGAGAAATTGCCAGAACAGGCACTCAGGAGAGTGCTAAGCTTCTCTAGGAGATGCGTCATCATGCAATGGGTTGAAGTTGTTGATGGCATGAGGAGAGGGCAGTATGGAGGGCAAGTCCCTTTCTCTGCTGGTCCCACTTTTCAGCTCTGTGTGGTTACACTCTCAATTTGATGACTGTGGTTCTCCATGCTAAATTGCTGCTAACTGGAGGTTCCCCAGCCCTGGAACCTGTCAAAGGCTGGCAGCGGGGCAAAAAGGTGAGGAGCTCCGTCGAGGCTCGGGAGTGGAGCACACCCTCAGGACTCCCGCTCTGGCTCTGAGCAATTCTGGGGCCACATCTTAAGCCAGAAGAGAGAAAGGAGTTAGGTCTGGGATCCCCTGATACAGAATTCCAAGTCTGTAAAAGGTAGAAAAATATTCTAGAGCAAATGGCAGTACCCTTACTGACCACTACTGGTGACCACCTGCCTGACGGGTCATTTCCAACAACCCAGTGTGCGTTCACACCCCTGATACCATCTCATTACAAGATGAAGTGACGCATTCCAATTCTCAGAGCGTCTCAATCCTACCCGATCTTTCTTGGACTTAACCTAAAGGCTCCCTTCTCTCCACATTTCTAGAATAGGCAAAGTTTATGGGACTAAAGGGTTTCGCCTGTCTGGTTGGGAGGAAATACAGCATTTATGCAGTACTTAACTTAGTGGGGGGACATAGATCCCTCTGAGAATCTAATGAGAACTTTTTCTTTTTTTTTTCTTTTTTTTTCAGGAAAATGCTTGAGGGGCACCTGGGTGGTTCAGTTTGTTAAGCGTCCGACTCTTGGTTTCTGCTCAGGTCAGGATCTCAGGGTTGTGAGATCGAGCCCCGGGTAGTACTCCCCATTGGGTGTGGAAACCG